GGTTTTCTTCGTTGGCGGCCTGGTCTATATAGTCAGTGTCTTCCAGGACAGCGCGGCCAACACAAAACCACCCTTCAAAAAAAAAAAAAAAAAAAAAAAAAAAAAAAAAGAAAACAATCAGAAATACAACCTTTAAAGCTGGACTTCTGGAGTAGAGCAACAGCTCAGTGGGTAAGCATAAGGATCAGATTTGGATTCTTGGAACCCACATAAATGCTGGGCAGCATGATGGCCTGCCTGTTATCTTAGCCTTCAGGAGGCAGAAATAATGGCTACCTGGAACAAGCTGGCTAGTTAGACTAGCCAAATCTGTGAGCTCTGGGATCAAGTGGGAGACCTTATATCAATATACAAGGTGAAGAGTAAGACACCTGATCTAACGCACAAGCACACAAATGCACCCATACATGTGAACAGACCTACACAGCACACATATGAAAAAGAAAAGAAGCTGGACTTGGCTCATTCCTATAATCCGAGAGCTTGGGAGGCTGACATAAAATCACCACAGTTTGGAGGCTAGTTCGTTTCAGACTACTAATCAGGCCTATGGAGAAGACCCTGTCTCAAAAGACTAACAAAAAACCTGTAACTTTCATTTGCTCTGAGGATCTTGGCAGTTACAGTGGCTGCAAAAGTAGCATCTTCTCCTGCTTCTTTTTTTTTCTGCTTTTTTTTCCTGCTTATTAATATCTCTTTTATCTGCAGAAACTGCTTCCCCAGAAAGAAGGTGTGTGAAATGTCTTTGTCCTCTAGGATAGAGATGGTAAGTGTGGGAATCACCACAGAGCCTTGTCATGTCAAGTTGGGACACAAGGCTGGGGTTTGAGGTAGTGTGAACAGAGCTTATTGTGCTTTGATGGCTATAGTCAAACTTTTCGAGGCACCATGTATACCTCCCTGTAGGTGGGAAGCCGAGACAGATGAAGTGGTCCTGCAGCAGCAGCAGAAGCAGATAGATTATGGCAAGTGTACACCTGGATACCAGAGCTTTCTGCAGCAGGTCCCCAGGTGAGTGCAGTTGTAAGCAGTCACAAGGACACCAACCAAATGGCTGTAGCTCATTGCCGAGGGCTGAAAGGAAACTGGATGCAGAGGGGCTGATTCTCCTGCCATCTAGTCCCCAATAAGTTTTTGATTTCTCTCAAGTAGAAATAGTCTTAGCCCAGAAGACATTCAAAGCTTGTCCATGGATTTTTTCCCTTAAAGTTTTTGTTTTGTTTTTTCCTTTTTTTAAATCATTTAATGTGTGTGTTGTGTGAGTGCAGATTTGCAGATTTTGTGCAAGTTGTGCTTGTGGAAGTCAGAGGGTCTTTACCTCCAGGGCAGGCTCTTCTGGGGATCAAACTTGGTCATCAGGCCCCACTAGCAAGTGTTTTTTACTTCCTAAGCCATCTTGCTGGCCCCCATGTTCCTTTTCTTATTAATTTTCTTTGTAACTGTACAAAGGAATGGTTTCATTGGGATGCCTTCACTGTACGAATGTATTTCACTGTTATTGTTCATTTACCTTTTTAAAGTTTTTCTTGTGCGTTTATGTCTTCCCTGCACGTGTGTCTATACACCACATACATGCCGTGGAGGCCAGACGAGGGTGCCAGATCCCCTGGGACTGGAACTGCAGAACGTTGTGAGCTACCATGTGGGTGCTGGGAATCAAATCCACGTCCTCTGAGCCATCTCAGCCCCCTCTTCTGTTTTCCATATGTTCTAGTATTCTCTTATTCTCTCCTTTCGGCTCCCTTCAGACCTCTCTTCTTCCTCTGTAGTTTCCTTTCTATTTTCAACACACACACATACACACACACAAAATGTATCAAAGGTTGGATATCATCTTTACTCAAGGGTCAGTGTATCATTACAATTGCTGCTGAAGTGAGCATTACACATGAATGTTTATTCCCCACCCCCTTCCTCCCTCTCCCTCCATGTCTCTTAGACAGTCTCATGTAGCCTCAGCTGGCCTCAAACTCTCTATGTAGTCAAGAATGACATTTAACTTCTGTTCCTCCTGCCTCTACCTCTGAAGGCTAACATTTCAGGGTGCTAGAGTTATGTGCCCCCAGACTTGGCTTTAATGTATTTGCTGGATTTGAGCATCATCCTGTCCTTGGGTAATTCTGTATAGGCTTCTGATTCACTGTGATAAGCAATGAACAGTGTCCCTTTCCTTTGACTTCAATCTGACCCATATTTGTCATTGTTAGGGCACAGCAACTGCCGGATTTTCACCCTCAAACACTAAACAAAAACAGGAGGTACAGCCGCCGATCCTGGGATGCCCAGATCAGGCAATGGCGAAGAGCCCTGCATACCTGGGACCCCCAAGCCAGTCTCTCCATGACAGACAGGCTGAGGGGTGTGTTCACTAATCTGGCTCCT